TATATATATATATATATATATATATATATATATATATGTTTGTGTGTGGGTATTTATATATTTTTATTTTTAATATTGATTATTTACTGTAGCAGTTATTTTACCAAAATTTTATTGAATTATTGTGTAACATTTTAGGTCGGCTATTTATGCCAATAGACATTACTTAGATTTATATCATTCTACTCATCCTGATTGGTTGGCAAAAACTAATTCTACAATTGGAGATGTTTTTATTCATCCTACTGCTAAAGTTCATCCTAGTGCCATTGTTAGTATATATTAGTTTTTGTCTTTTAATTTGTTGATATTATTCAAATTTATTAAGTTGTAATACAAATTTGAAATTTCAAATATATTGCATTCAATTATACAGGTTTCACTACCCCAAAATGCTTTAGTTACTGTTTTTATTTCCTTATTTTCTTTTTCCTATTGATTTTCCAACTCTGACCTAATTTCTAACATAATTTTTGTTGTTTTGTTTTAGTTCGTAAGTTTTTTTTTGAACTTTGAGTTTAGTATTCTGGTATTTACTGCACATTTAATGCAATTCATTTATATGTGTTTGTAGGCATATGATTTGCTTTTGAGTTTTTTCACTACTGTTTCATAAATTTTTTTAAAAATTTTTTAAGTATTAGTTAACATATTTTTTTTTCTTTATATTACTATTGTTTCAGTTATTTAAAAATTATTGTGAAGTTACTACATCTTATAGAAAAGTTTAAACTAAGAAAACCTTAGTAAAATAATTATGATTGAAAGTATTAACATAAGGCTAAAGTTTAAGAAACACATTGAATTTTGTAAGCAATTAGTAGAAAGTAATATTTTGTTGTTATTTATTTTATTTCAGTTACTTGTAACAAAGCTATTCTCACTATCAAAATATCTATTTTATGCCCCAAAATTTTTATGAAATTTGTGCATTTTTGTTGGAAGTGGTTAAATGGTACCATTTATAAAATACCGATTAAGTGTCTCTCCAAATTTTAGTGAAATTCCAAAATAAACAAGTTTAATATGATGTAAGAGAACAATGATAATGATCATTATTTTAGGCCAAATAAACATTGTGCAAAGCATAATCATTTAAATAGATTTTAAAAACATAATTGAAAAACAGAGTTTAGAAATATATCTTACTTTTGATAAGTTTTAATAACTGCATTCATTTCCTGTTTTTAGTGAAAAATTGTAATTTGTTTGCAACATGAGAAATCAATGAAGTATGGCAATTAAGTATGAGCAATCAATTATGAAAAATATATTAATGACATTAAATATATATATTACAAATTTGCTAGAAAATTTACTCAAAATCAAATCATAGAAAAAATTGGGACTGGCCGAACTATTAAAAATGTATAACTTGCACTCATCATTAAGATTACAGGCGACATTTGCACAAAAAATAATTAGATGAAGAAGGTTAGTTTCCACAGCCTTAATGTAAATCCTAAGGGTTGGTACGGACTCTGCATATAAAGGAAAAAGTGACATTTAGGGACCCCGCAGTAGAGGGTTTTCTTAAACGGATTTACACCCACCTCTCCTTCAACCATCTCTAGAATTGGAGAGGAGAAAGAATGCTATCTTTTATTGTTGATGGTTAGTCTGTGCTGCATTTTGAGTACTATTCATTGACAGTACTGGACTATATATTAAGATATTTCTTTGAGAATTCATCTATATCATTCATTTTGATAATATGAGGGAGGCAGAGCTGTGATGGTTCAGTGGATAGAGCATCCGCCTTCCAATAAGGTGAACCGAGTTCAAATCCCAGCAATGGCTAGTCTATACGAATTCCACATCCGGCTCGCACTGACCACAGTGCTGATTTGAAATATCTTCAGTGGTGGACGGTTCATGGGTTAGAGTCCCATTGCCATCAGGCTAACCGTAGGTGGTTCTTGTGGTCTTTTTCTCCATGTAATGCAAATGCGGGTTAGTTCCATCGAAAAAGCCCTCCACGAAGGCAAATTTCTCCCATTGATCCAGGAGTTCCCTTGTCTTCTGGATTGAGAACAAAATTGCAGGGTTACATAGTTCAACATTAGTAGTCATAAACCCGAAAATTGGGTTGGCTGTTCAAAGGTGGTTATAAAATAAAAAAAAATATGAGGGATGTCCTGACTGTTACATTGCTTTGTATGCCCTTGCACTGAATCTTAGTTCAAATGATTTTCTGCTAAACTTGAGTATGCTCTCTCTGTAAGTTGATTTTCAGGTACAGCATCCTGTACTAAATAGTTCCTTGTATTAGTTACTTATTCATAGAGCTGGACTTCTTCTCTTTTCTATATTTTTTGATTCATATTATCTAACTGGGAATAAAACAATCCATTTTTGCTTCCAACTACTTGTTAAGCACTTATAATTGCTAAATGTCCTATAATTGACTAAATATCCTGAAATTGGCTAAATATCCTGAAAAGGAGAGCAGACATTAAACAACTTCAAGTTAAACCATTTTTTTAATATCTTTGTATAATTCAAGAAAAGCAAAACAATGCTTTCATTTCTTTCTACTATTCATTCACTGTCTCTCACTGCTCCTCTTTCCATTCCTGCCTCTCTTACTTAATTTTATCTTTGTTTTTTGTTGAATTATTTTTTTCTTTCTTTCTGGGTAAGCGGCAGTAAATGTTAAGCAAACAATCAACAAAACTCGAAAAATGAACAAAAATGATCTTCATATTTTATTTATATAGAATATGAAATTTTATAAATTCATATATGGTGTTTTACTTCTGCTACATATAATAAATTTTTCCTACTTCAATGAGATGATTTTAACTTGTTTTTAGTTGGGTCCCAATGTCAGCATTGGAAAGAATGTTGTTGTTAAAGCAGGAGTTCGTATAAAAGAATCCATAGTCTTAGGAGATGCAATAATTTTTGTAAGTAAATTCTTATGGCCTTCATAGTTTTAAGCTGTTCTTTAATATTTGTTTTATTTGTGATGTTTTTTTTCTTAGGACAATGATCTTATGATGATTCAAAATGATTTTCTCATCAATGAAATTTCAAATAAAATGTATTTTTAAATTTTCACTTTTGGAGACTTATTTTCTAGATTATTATTTTGTTGATGTTGAGGTTTTGCCATTTAAAGTTGCATGGTTTAAAGGGAATTAATAATTTGTTTGTATAAAATTTTTCATCCTGATTAAATATATAATTAAAATAAATAAAAAGTTAACAATAATAACTATTTCTTTTTTTTTGTCGGGAAATTTATTTAGATAAATGAGTTTTATAATTTTGTGCAAAATTGCCTTGATTTCCCTTATCAATTTCGGATAAAAATCCATATCCAGAGCTGTCAACTACTGCACTTTATGCAAAATATTTTATTGAGTGATAGACAATTAAAAACTACAGCTTTCAGAATTTTTGGTAATTTTGCCAACATATTAAAAGCTTCACCACAAGAGAGCTGGACCTAAGTGGCATTCCATATAAAATTTTTAATCATTTTCATGTAGTGGTGTGGAAAATTACTTTAAATCAAATTTACAAAGCAAGAAATTATACATTAAAATGTAAGCTTGCTACCACTCAGGGCATGATTTAATTTTTTAAAATTAGTAGCAAAGTTTGCTGCTACTAATATATACTTGTAGCAAAATCAGGATCTTTTTTTGAAGTGGTTTTGCAATAAATTTTTTGATGTACAAAATTTAACATGAAGCAATTACTGAATGATTAATATTAAATATTTAAGTATGTATATTTGTATGAAAGTTCAAATACTACTGTTTTATTTTATTTTCCTGCTATTAGATATCTATATATGTTTCATAAGGTCAAAATTGTACTCTAAATTTCACACATTTAACAAAATACTAAAAAATTGTAAATTTTTGTTTAGTTATTGATGCAGTTTTGGCTGAAATAGCTTGCATAATACAAGTTTGTCAAAACATTATTAAAGTATAGTGTGATATAGTTCTGAAAGCATTGTTCTTCTAAAATGTGTACTTTGAAAATCTGAAATTTTACTTATTGTTAAGGACTCGTTCAAAATGAGTAAACATAATTTTTAATTTCCTCTAAATTATGTTTACCACATGAGTTTGTCTTTTCATCGTTTAATTTTAATACTGGGAATCATAGATTACCATCCAAGAGTTCATTCTAATACATAAAAAAGCCATAGTGCAAAAATCTGAATAGAGCACTTTATCCTCAAGAAAAGACAATTTACTTAACTTAAAAGGGTGTAGTTTTTTAGGGACCAGTAAAGTTCTAGGCTTTCAATTTTTTTTGAATAAAAAATTATTATTGCTTAGGATTCGCTCATTTTGCAAAAGTGTTTTAATATTCGCACATTTTGAAAAATTTGTGATAAATTTGTGTTGTAAAATTTGTGTTGTGATAATATTAGATTGGTAGTATTGGATTAATATCATCAAGGTTTTAAAAAAACCATGTGAAAAATATAGTAACTGCAAAAAAAGATGTAAAAAAATCGTTGTGATATTACATGAAGTTGGCACAAAGTGAGATAATTAAAAATTATCTGTTAAATGTGCAATTTCAAATTTGTCAGTCATAATAACATCGGATTTAAAATATCGATATTTTAAAAATGATGTAGAAATGTCCTAGAAAAAGATAACTGACCGCAATAATTGGCAAAAGAAAACGATTAGACATACAAAAGTATTGTAACAAATCAGGCAAGTCAAAAAGTTCTAATTTGAAATTAGTGTCTTATAATGAAATCATATTACTAAAACCTTTTTAATTGAAAAACTATGGGAAAAAGAAAATGAAAATAAAAAATAACAGCAGAAAAAGCTGTTGGAAACTGAGATGTGGATTAACGATTGAGCAATCGTGAATCAAGCACATCAAAAAGTGATTACTTGAAAGTTATTACTCAGAAAGTGGTTACTCAAGAGTGATTACTCTTCAGGTGTCGTAGTAGCATCATATCCAAAAATCGTAGTTAAAAAACTGGGAAATTGTCTGAAAAAACGCTAAATAACTGCAAAAAAACACTTAGAAATTACTTGGATTTACATAGGAATCATCACAAATTGAGCTCATCAAAATATGATTACTCAAATTTGAAATTTGCATGTCACTGTTGGATTAACTTTGAATCTGAAATATCAGAAGCTAGAAAACCGTGTGGAGAAGATCGTAAGAACAAAAAATTATTAGAAAAAACAACCAGGGAATGATGTGGATTAACGATGAAATAGTCGAGAATGAAGTATGTCCAAAAAGAGTTTACTCAACTTTGAACTTTGGGTATTACAATAACAGCATGTTTAAAACTTTGCATTTCAAAAAAAATTATGTGGAGTGGGCAAAAAAAATAATAACTGTTGAAAAAAATGTTCAGAAAACGGCTCAGAGTTGTGATTAATTTTCGCAAACCGATCAACTAAAAAAAATTATTACTCTAACTTGAAATTCACGTGTCATAATAACACTGTAATTAAACCATGTTATAATGACTAAGAGGGCAATAAATGATTGCTGGAAGAAAAATTGGAAAACGACTTGGATATACAATGGAATTGTTGCGAATTGAGGGAGTAAAAAAGTGCTAACTCTAATTAAAAATTTGTATGTTGTAATTACATGGTATTTAAGATATCAAAATTTTAAAAACCATGTGGAATGGATGAGAGCAATATTTGTTACTGCATTTTTTGTAACTAGCATTTCATTTTTTAACAAGCAATTTGCTACTTGCTAGTCAATGAAATTCTGTCCTGCTACTACTAGAAGAAATTTCCCCCAAATACATGGAAAGTTGGCAACTCTGCTCGTCAGTACTAGATACAAAGTCTGTAACAAGTAAAATTATCAATAAGGGGTTAAACTTTTGACTAACCTTTAGGCACAATATTTTCTAGAATTTAGCTTTTCCTCATATTTTAATGGTCAAGAACTTAACTCTGTCTAAAACATGGTATGTTTAATCAGGAGAAAAATTTTGTTTGATTTTTTTTTAATGTTAATTATTGTCTGAAATAATTAATTAGCATTTTTAAGGTCAACCTGTTAAAAATAATAATTTAGATTGCATGTTAAGCTGTGAAAATCTGATCAATAGTGAAAGGATTATTAAGGGGGTTGATTTCTTATTTTTCACTTAGTATTTATGTAAAAACTTTTTAATTTTGTTTAATATTTTTCTCTTAGTTTACAAAACTTTTATGTAATTTTAAATAAGTTATTAATTATTTTGTTAGGAACATGCACTTGTGTTGCATAGCATAATTGGTTGGAACAGTTCTGTTGGAAGATGGGCACGTGTTGAAGGAACACCTTGTGATCCAAATCCTGATAAACCATTCACCAAAATGGAAAATGTTCCTCTTTTCAACGAGACAGGTCGCTTAAATCCATCAATTACTGTTCTAGGTAATTATATTTTTTTCTAATTTTTAAAAATTTTATGTCAATTCGAAGAAAAAATTTCTTTAGATTATAAAGTGGAATTTTTTGTAACTGTCAAGTTTCCCCATTTATTATTACTTTTTAGATAAATACAGTTCTATGACCCAAAGCTAGTTTAATCATTCTTATTAAATTTGTGTCTGACATAGTTTCCATAACCATTTAAAATTAATTAACTTGAGTGCATAATATGACTTTAGCCAAGTATAGGCTCACTAGTAAACTACATTCAATCCAATATTTTTTTTATTTCTTCCTTGCTATTCTTTTTGGCTTTAAAAATAGTTTGAAGCATTATGTAATATATTTTATGTACCTTTATATACCTTTAGTATGTAATATATTTTAAGCACAGTATTTTAGCTTCTTGCTCTAAGGCCGTAGAACTTTACAATGAATCCAATCCTATTCATTAGATTTAATGTTTTTAATTTAAATATTTGTTTGAATTTTTTTCTCTGTGTTACTAAATATAAATATTATTTTTTATTTACAGGTTGTAATGTACATGTGCCATCAGAAGTTATTGTTTTAAACTCAATTGTTCTTCCTCACAAGGATTTGACACAAAGCTATAAGAATCAAATTATTTTATAGTGAATTATAATCTTATTATAAATTTTAATTTAAGCTGTAATGTTTGGATATTGAAATATTCTCTCCTCTAAGCATTTTTAAAATTGTTTCTAAATTTGTTTTTAAAAAATATATTCTGCTGAAGGGTGCAGTTTATAAATATAGTAAAACCTTGATTAAAGTATTGAAACTAAGAAAACTTCAAAAATAGATTTTTTTAATTTATTAGTTAATTAATGTAAATGTTGTATTTCATAAATAATTACTATACCTATTAAATTTAATCTTCTGAACATTAATTGCCCATTTACTAATCTTTAATCTAGTAACTTTCTTGCTGTAAACTCCTGTAAGTCTCCATGTTATTCAACTAAAAAGTTGTGTTTGGTTTTTAAAATTCCAAACAATTTTACTCAAAATAATAATGTTAAGATGGTTAAATCTGACTAGGACCTTTTAATATGTTTAGAAATACCTATGAAATTTTATTTTTTTTTCATCTTAGATTCAATATATTTTTAATGTGTCTTATGACTTTTTTTGACATTAAGTTAATATGCTGTTCCCATTAAATTGAGAAAAATAATGATTAAAATTGTAAAAGTAGTAACAGTTGAAAGAAATTTGACAAGAAAATTGATGACAGTTATTAGAGAGCTTTTAATACTAATTATCAAGGTTTCACTGTGCATGTGAATTGCTTTGTATGAAATATAGCCTGTTTAATTTATCCCGATTATTCCTGATTAAAATATCTCCTCCGAGGTAAATCTGGGTATATGTAGTTGAAAAGACACGAGACTCAAGTGCGTTTTATTATATTTTATTGCTACAAACTATATTGAATTTTTATTGTTTTTTATTGTTTTCAATTAATTTTTTGTTGTTGGAGGAACTAATTACACCTGCCTTATTTTTTAGTTTGAAAAAATACGAAAAGATTTTTTTAAAAGTAAATTTAACTTTATATTTGTTTCACTTTTATATTGGAAAAAGTAAAACTGATGTGGTATAAAGTAAAGAGGAAGAAAAGAGTTAGTTTTTGAACCTAATCATTTATTCAATACGCATTAGACTTGCAAGAACCAGGAAAAAGGGTTATAAACATGCACATAATTTTTATAAATAATACCAACTTCATGTACTATATACATATTTGTACAGGATCATACATATGTTGTAACTAATTTTCTTTTATAAATACCTTTGTAATTTTTATAATTTTTGTCTTCTTCTTGCATGTAATTCATATGGGTTTATTTTTGAGTTGAGTAAAGATATTTTTAGTGCCATACAAAAATATAATATGTATCATAATGATTGCTTTCTATGCTATTGATAATAGTATAATTCTCAAAGTTTTTTAACAATGGTATTTTAACTATAGCAAATTTTATTAATTTGATTTTTATGTGATATAAATGTGTAATTATGCTTCGTATGTGACATAAAATAATAATAATGTAAAAAGGCCTTAAGTTTTGTCATGATCCTTCTTACACTTCTAGGTTATATGTTTCAAGTGATATTTGTTTAAATTTTCTGCATTATTTAAATTACTATTATTTGGTATTTCATTTACATAGTGTCTTCAATCCTGGAAATATGTATTGTATATATACTTTTTTTTTAATATTATATGTAGTACTTAAGTATCTATGAATATAAATTTTAGGTTACTAGATGTGGTACAATCAAATAAATTTTTTATTGTAATTCTTTTTTTAAATTTTTTTATTTACTTTTGAAAAATATTTGTTATATTTTTGTTCAGAATGCAATACTTTAGTTAATTATTGACAACTTTTGTAATTTCCTGTGTGCTGTCAGTAGGGCTGCATAACCTGCAGGTCAGGTCCCCTGGAGTTAAGGGAAAAAATTTCTTACAAATACCTTGCACCACTGTTTATTTGGTGGATTAGATGGGGTTTTGTTTGCCACAAGAAAAATAGCAATAAATTCTCAAAGCCTTTCCCACTGACAGGATCTACACCACATGTGAGTGAATCTAGAATCTTATATGAGCCAACGGGAATTGGCAAGGAGACAGGCAAGCAGACACACGATCATGTTTAAAGGTCATTCACACTGGATGTGAAAAAAATCACGTATGCAAATTTAGAGATGTGAACAAGAACTTGATTGGTGAGTTCTTTGTGGGTTAGTATATTTTATCAATAAGGTTCTCATTGGCGTGTGCAAATTTTTTTTATCCAATGTTAATGGTCTCATGTTATGGCTGACAAAATTTGATAGGAAATTTGCGATGTCTAATGCCCATAGAATGATTTTGCTTACATTATCTGTGGCTACAGATTTCCCGCAGTCAGGATTTTCGTGCATTTTTAACAGGTAATCTGTGAATAGTAACTTATAGAGTAAACACAGGAGATTATGGCATTATAAATTTTATATTAAAATGCTTATTATTTTGATGATACAGTAGTAGATCGCAAATCACAACAGCAGGCTCTCTTGAACTACCTTTCTACAGTCATTAATCATGCTAACAACTGCATTATTTCTTATTAATTAAACAATTTTTCATATATGAAACCTTTAGAGTAATTAGTTATGATTATAAATGCTCTATCTAGGAAATGATGAAGTCTAATGACATTTCTTTATCTAAATATTCAGTGTCTATTAACATTTACAATTTGGCAACTGTTTTTAATCAATCATATCTATTTTCGACATAAATTATTTGTATACATTCAGCTTTTTTTTAAGAGTTTGCATTGAAAGATTCGGGATTTTTTCTGATATCAGTATGATTTTACTAAATGATTAAGATTTAATTAAGTAATCATAGTCAGAATTTGAAATTCTTTTTTTTTTCTTTATTATGAAGTTTTTAGCCTTAATTATTAAATTGTGATCCTTAATGTGCATAGTTTTAAAACTTTTTTTTTTCTAAGGGCTCTAAATATTTTTATCATTCTGAAACCCAGCAGAACATATTGAACAACATTTGGTAAATTTTTATCACTTATAAATAATAATATATATATTTTTTAATGTTTGTATGCCTTTACAAAGCAATTGTCTATATAAAAATATAATTGTACCTATCCCCATTGATATGAGTTTTTATTTGCAATGAAAAAAAATTAATAAAGGTAAGAAATTTGATTAAAGTAAACTTTTGGACTGTTTTATGGCATATAGATATATTATTATTTGAGTCGAGTGGAATTTGTTTCATGACTAAAATGTGAAGAAATGTACTAAAACTATCCTACAATATGCTAAAAATGCTAAAAAGGAAAATTTATCATATGTTTTTAGGTAAAACTAAAACTAACTAAAAAATAAATGTTTTATTAATCGATTTAAAAAAAATATTTCATCCCAATAAGTTTACTTTCTTATAAGCTACACATTCACAGTTTGAAATAAAAATCATATTTTCTGCTGTTATGATATGAGTTAAAGACAACATAAATAATACAAAAATATTTTGTATTATTGTAAGTCTGGCATGTCCTATTACAAAGAGCATTTTCTTATTTTTTTTTAACATCAAAGGTAGTTTTCAAATACGACTTAAAAAAATAATTTCTTTCATAAAAATACTAATTTAGTGAATTTAGCTATTTCTAAGTGTAATTGAAAATTCTGCTTGAAAATGCTGTAATTCTGATTAAAAGCATGCTTATATTATGTTTGAATATTGTTAAAAAAGATTTTGCAAAAATGTATTTTTTGATATTTATTGGAATATAAATAAACATATTAAATAGGAACAAAAATATTCTTTTGTGTATTTATATTTTTATTTGTGACTTTCTAATTTTTCAAATGAACAAATAAAGATGTGAGTTGAAGAATGTGAGTGAATGTAACATTTTAACAAAGTCAAACCCTTGTCTACAAAAATGAATTTTTGTTTTATATAAAGTAAATCATTGTTTGATTTTATTTATGGAGTTTAAATATATCTGTGAAAATTTGTGTTTAAAATGTTGTACTGTACCATCAAATGTTATTACAGTAGGGAACCGATTATCCGGAACGATCGGGACCATCGCTATTCCGGATAACTGATTTTTCCGGTTTTCTGAATCGCTACAAAAAGCCGTTTTTTTTATTGTTAAACCCAAAAAAAAAAAAAAATTATGATAATAATCTTAAAAAGAGGAAAAAACGATGAAGTAATACACTAATGATTATTTCCAAAGTGATGGTAAGGTAAACATCCTTCAAAAAAGAAAGAAAAATCCTAAAATCTTATGAGGAAAAAAAATATTTTTTAAAAAAATGGCGGGAAAATTTCTCGAATATCGTTCCGTTTTTTTGGTTTTCCGGTTTTCTGATTTCCGGATAACGGGTTCTGTACTGTACTTTTAATCATTATATATTACCATATATGTTGGGGAAAAAGGCAATGAACTGCTTACTTTAAAGATTTATTTATAAAAGAAACAAAATATGTATAGATTTCCTATGAAAATTTACTTTTTATAATGTTTAGAGTTTCATATGTTCATGTTATTTTTTTTACACATTTTTATTAATTAATAATGTTTCTTTTACCAAATGACACAGAATTTAAATTTTTGACAATTTGTGAATAAAATGTTATTTTGTTTAATTTTTTCTGCTTTCTTCATATTATTGTGATTTTAGTTATTTTTTTTAAACTTATAACTGCGAATTTTAAATAATGTTAAAGTGTACTAGAAGAGGAAAACTAGGTGGTTGCTTAGCTTTTTTTAATGTTCAACACATTAAGTTTTGGGGAAAAACCCTTCATTCATGGAGGATTTTTTTAAATGAAACTAATTTGCGTAATGTAATTTGCAATAATTTTTTTAGTCTATAGTTTATAATAATAAATATTAAAATAACCAACTTTTTCTTGATGCTGCCTCTTGGACTCTAGCAAGACTACAATTAAGTTCATATTTCAAAAATTTATTTTATATTGACACGTTGAATGCCATGGGGGTGACCGGCACTCAGTTTGTTCGTAGCGTCACGGGGGTCACTGGTCAAGATTATTTGAAACACATAATTCGAGTAAATTTTTAATTTTTTATATTTTTATCGTTACTAAAATGGTTTGAAGAAATTAATGCAATATAGAACACACAAAAATAGTTTTATTTATATACACAGAGATGCCAACTTGCTCTGGACAGCGAATAAATATTTTCAAGTGGTAGTTTATTAATTGTGATTCTTGGTTTAATAAATTCAATTTCTAAACAATTCGTAGGCTTTTATAATTCACCACTTTTTTCAGACATGTCATGTTAAACCTTTTAAAAAACTAGCAAAATCTGTCTTAAGATTTGCAAATTTAGTTTCTAGTTATTTACATTGTGCCCAGACGGTCAAGCCATGTAAAATTAGCAAGGCATTCAATGTGTTAAATACTCGAAAATAATAATATAATTTAAAAACTTAATAACTTTAACTAGAAGCCTGTAAAAACACAATTTTATTTAACATCTATGATTTAGGTGAACAAAAAAAGATAGCACTTATATTATTCTGTAGTGCCAGGAAATATCTTATCCTTGCACTAGTCAAACAGGATGACCAACTTATATTTTACTTATTATTCCAATCGCTACACCGATTTCTTCAACAGGAAACACAAAATGACATCAGTTGCAGCTATTGGCTTTTTTAGGCAATAAAAAAATAGTTATTTCTGTAAAGAAAAAAAAAGTCAATTATATAATCTATAGTTCTTTGGATTTTCAAAGATTAATTTTTTTTCAAAATAAAATGCTAGGAATTTGAAAAACTTTTCAAAAGTAAAAAGTAAAGCCCACTTATAACAGCCCCTTGTAGGCCAAGGATGTTAAGACTGCAATCAACAGCATGATAGCGGCAATGTGGTCTGCATTGTGCACCGGTCGCTTTTACTTTCCGTTAAGCTGATACCCATCTATGTAAAACTGGAGGGGGGGGGTCTTGAAGCCGCCACCCGGGATAGAAATTTGATCCTTTAAAATGACAGCTCCCTGTCTTAATCATTCCACCATTACTGCTCTATAGGTAAATAGTAGTAGGCTTGAAGTGCTTTAAGAAAAAGTCTTATAACCTCTTATTAAGTTAAAGCCTAGTTTTTAATGTTGTTAGGAAGTTTTAGAAATGCCTGATCAACAAGGTTTTTTTTCTTCTTCTGTTTTTATATATAATTTTATTATATTTTATAACCGTCGTTGAACAGAAGACCCAGTTTTTGGGGTTACAACTTCTAATGTTCAACTCCGTAACCTTGTAATTTCTAACCCAATCCAGAAGACAAAGGAAATCCTGGTTCAGATAATGGGAGAAATTTGTCTTCTTGGAGGACTTCTTGATGGAACTAACCCGCATTTGCGTTAAATGGAGAGGAAAGCCACCAAAACCTCCCATGGTTAGCCTAACGTTAAGGAGGCTCAAAGCCATGATCTGTCTGCAATTGAGGATATTTTACGTCAGCACTGTGGTCAGTGCGAGCCGAGTGCGTAATTCGTATCTACATGCCATCGCTGGAATTCGAACCCGATTCACCAAACTGGAAAGCGAACGCTCTATCCCCTCAGCCACCACGTCTCTTTATACATAATTTGTCAATATTTTTTTTATATATTTGTTAATAAATAGCTTATCTATGAATCGGATTTGAAAAAATAAAGGTTATAGTTCGCCTCCAGGCCTTTGAAATTTTAACCTTACTAAGGCGATACTAAATGTGTGAGTTAAGTATTAGGACAAACTGCTGTTCGCGGAGCACTTTTAAATTGAGAACAACATGAAAAGGAAACACACATAATCTCGTAGATTTTCACAGGAAGCTGTATAATTCTCACCGTTGAACATAATCCCCTGATCTTGAAAATAATAGGAATATTTTGCAAAGCGTTGCGGTTTCCCGTAACTTTAACGCTGAAACTATTTGAGATTTATAGTATGATTTTTCTTGCAAATCACCTGTCCTTGACACGTTGAATGCCATGGGGTCAGCGGTGACCGGCAAAGCCAAGGTTATTAGAAACCTATAATTCGTGTAAATTTTAAATTTTTTTATATTATCATCGTTACTAAAATGGTTTGAAGAAATTAATGCAATATCGAACATACAAAATTAGTTTTATTTATATACAATAGCTGCCAACTTGCTCCGGACAGCGATTAAATATTTTCATGTGGTAGTTTATTAATTGTGATTCTTGGTTTCATAAAATCTATTTTGTAGATTTTTATTCACCATTATTTCTAAACATCTCGTAGGCTTGTATAATTCACCACTTTTTTCAGATATGTCATGCTAAACCTTTTAAAAAACTAGCAAAATGTGGCTAATATTTGCAAATTTAGTTTGTAGTTATTTACCGTTGTGGCCAGACGGGCAAGCCATGTAAAATTAGCGTGGCATTCAACGTGTCAAGGGTTACAATATAAGGTTAGGTAGGTCACACACTGAGGAAGCAAGGGGTAAGAAAAAGGCATACAGGTTACGAATTCCTATTCTTTTGCGTTAGGATGCGCGGAGGTGATGTGCGCATGCTAATACAAAATCTGTCTGACTTTTTCTATGCATATCTGTCTCATGTATATCAGCGCTATGGTTTGCGTTATGTAGAATATAGACCAGGATCTAGATTCAAACTAAGGTCGATAGTGTTGAAAGTAAACTCAATCAGAAGCATACTTTAATTTTATAGAAATTTTATTTAGAGATTTTTTTAAAAAATATAACTATTGGATTTTGCCCGGAAGTTATTAAGTTTATTTGGATCCGAAATCTAAACAATGATATGCCGATTGTGTTGCATCGAAAGTTAAAACATGAATTTGGGCTATACTATCTAGCACCACTTCTTTAACAAATAAATCTATTTAAAAACTAAAAATAAATTTCACAATTTGGAAGTTAAAGGAAGAAAAGGGGAAAAATATCTGAGACGACTCTTATGATCTCTACACTTATTTTACGTACTCAACAGTAGATATATTTGAAATGCAGCTCATATTTTTAAGTTTTTTATGTTTCAAAAGATTTTGTCGGACACATTTGTTTATTTGCAGAAGACATCGCGCTACGTAGAACTAATATTTTAGATGGCTTTGACCTTGAGAAGAATTCGGAAAGAAAGTTTTCTCATAGACTCATAGATTAGAAAGTTTCTTTCTTTTTTTTTTTTAATATTGTCCTTTGTCTGAAATTTTTTTTATTCATCTAAAGAATGTAGGAGGATTGATGTTCTGCTATCTTCTTCAATTCGATAGTTGAACTGAAAATGGCAGAAATAATATTAGATTGGTATATCAAATAAATGCACAAAAAAAATTTGAATACAAACTATCGAAACTTTTCTAGGTAATTAA